CACAGCAAACCAGCCCCTGCAGATTCTCAAAAACTTAACAAAAGATAAAACATCCCCCTGACACTTTCTACAGTAAACTAGTGCCAAAGAGAGAAATTTTTTAAACTTATTTATCTACATATCAACAAAGTATGCTAGTTCACCCTAACACGAGTAAAAGAGAAAATGTAAATAATCTGAATGACAGTGCTACTTGTACATATATCTTATTTTTATTCAAAAGCTTATATGCCCTCAGAGTTACGGTTACTGCAGCATCAACTTATGTCTTGGGAGATCTGGATAGAAGAGGCCCCCGGGACAGACACAACTTATCTATAAGCAACTCCTGATCCCATCAGAGAAACAAATCTAAGAAACTGTGTCAAAGGTCCACACTAGGAATAAGAATTCCTTTGTAACTACTTATATTCCTCATAGTCTTATCACTCCAAAAACAGCCATTATTTCCTATATCCACCAGCTTCAAAAACGTGTCACAAATTAAAGAGATATATTAAACCTGACATCAATATCTCCTATACTCCATAATCAGAGGGAGACAGATGAGAACAGACTTAGTTAAACCTCCTAAAGCTAAAACTGGCTCTTTCATCAACTACCTGTAATATACTAGTACATACAGTCCTGGCTCTTTTAGCACAAAAGTTACATAAAATCTTTCAGACAAATAAAGCAAGTGAAAATATAATGTTATTAAAAAGTGTCAGAAAGGCCCTAGCCCAGGGGTGGGCAAACTTTTTGACTCGAGGGCCACAATGGGTTCTTAAACTGGACCGGAGGGCCGGAACAAAAGCATGGATGGAGTGTTTGTGTGAACTAATATAAATTCAAAGTAAACATCATTACATAAAAGGGTACGGTCTTTTTTTTTTTTTAGTTTTATTCATTTCAAACGGGCCGGGTCCGGCCCGCGGGCCGTAGTTTGCCCACGGCTGCTAGCCGGTTTGGCTCAGTGTATAGAACGATGGTCTGCAGACTCAAGAGCCCCAGGTTCGATTCCGGTCAGGGGCATATGCCCAGGTTGCAGGCTCGATCCCCAGTGGGGGGCGCGCAGGAGGCAGCCAATCGGTGATTCTCTCTTATCATTGATGTGTCTATCTCTCTCTTCCTCTCCCTTCCTCTCTGAAGTCAATAAAAATATTTTTTTAAAGTGTTAGAAAGACTCTCTGGAATCACAGGAGTCAAGGCCCACCTAGGACCCAGGCAATCTTCAAGAAATTACCTCATCTCCCTGTGCCTCAGTTTACCTCCACAGAACAGAGATAGACTCACTGTGAAGATTAAACAAATAGGACCAAATTTTCACTGTGCCTGGTGACAACAAGGACTCAATAAAAGCAACTGCCACCATTCTCTCTTCATTTCTGCCCCCCTTCCCAGACATGACCCCAGTCCTCCCTGGTTCTCCACCCACAGGTCTTTGTGTGCATCCATGCTGCACAGGACAGTTAGTCAGTGTAGCAAAGGTCACTTACATTCTGTCTCCTAGAGACACAGCACAAGTACTGACTGCCCTTTCTCTACACCAAAACTCCCTTCTTCACACAGTCCTCAAATCCCTGACCACATGTAACTCGGTGCAGTAGCGGTGAGCAGAGTCAGTTTAGTGGGAAAACTGCTGGCACTTTCCACTGTTGGGTAGGGAAGTGCAGGGTGAGGCTAGGACAGACTCCTACTGTGCCAAAGGCAGCATGTACTCAAAGACAAGAGGGTGCTGTCGAAAGAGACAGAGAAGCCACAAGAGGGTGCACTGAACCTGGAACAACTTGAGCATCAAAATTATAACAACAAAGACTTTATAACCATCAAAAAGAAAAAAGTCCTTGAGTCTATACTAATCCTCAACTACACTAATGAAGAGTGCCAGCTAATGAGTGTAGAAGAATGACAGAATTAGCACGATCACCCTTTGCAACACTCAGTGTAATAACTGATTCAGGCAAGGATCACTGATGATGTCAGACCTTCCACAAGACGGGCTTGGTTTCATCACACAAAAATTCAATGTCATAAATATCAATGAAATGGTGGAGAATTGTCTTAAATTAAAAAAGACCAAAGAACTTTTCAACAAGTCTGTAATATGTATGTCTTAATATTAGTTTTATAATTTAAACTACTAAAAAAATCAGTAGTTAAATTTAAAAATATAAAAAAAGAGAGAGAGAGATAAGGGGGGTGGGGAGAGAGAGAAAGAGAGAGAGAGGCCAAAGAACACAGTACCTAAATGTAATTAATGAACCCTGATTAAATCCTTTAAAAAGTTTCAAAGATATTTGGGGACCACAAGAATAAATCTGAATATGGGCTGGACATCAGGTGATACTAGAGAATTTTTTTTACTTTTCTTAAGTGGATAACGCATGGTTATTTAGCAGAATGTCCTTATACTGAAAAGATGCATCTGAGGCATCAGGGCAAAGTGTGATAACATGGACATTTCCTTTCCAAAGGCTCAGCCAGAGAAAGTACGTATTTTCATATAATAGCATGTGTACATGTACAGAGACAGAAGTGGATGTATGTGCTATATATTCATATACGTATACACAATCTAAAGAGACAGAAGTGCACATGTGCTATGTATTCATAGGATACATTTGTACAGGTATCTATAGAGAGAAGTGCATATGTGTGTGTGTGCTATATATTCATTCGATATGTGTTCATGAATCTAGAGACAGAAGTGTGGGTGTGTGCTGTATATCCTATAATACATATGTGTATACATATCTATAACGAGGCAGACAGCCCTGGCTGAAATGGCTCTGTGGATAGAGCAACAGCCTGTGGACTGAAGGGTCCCATATTCAATTCCAGTCAAGGGCACATGCCCGGGTTGTGGGCTTGATCCCCAGTAGGAGGCGTGCAGTCATCATTTATGTTTCTATCTCTCTCTCCCTCTCCCTCCCTCCCTGAAATCAATAAAAACATATTTTTTTAAAAAACAGACAGGCAAATGTGGTGAAATAAAAACAATTGTGCTTCTAAAAGGATTAGTGGGTTTGCTTCATTTTTTTCAACTTTTACTTAAGCTTGAAACTTTTCACAATAAAAACTTGGGAGAGCCCTAGCCAGTTTAGCTCAGTGTATAGAGCGTCAGCCTGCGGACTCAAGGGTCCCGGGTTCGATTCCAGTCAAGGGCACATGCCCGGGTTGCGGGTTCCGTCCCCAGTAAGGGGCGTGCAGGAGGCAGCCAATCAATGATTCCCTCTCATCATTGATGTTTCTATCTGTCCCTTCTTCTCCCTTCCTCTCTGAAATTAATAAAAATATATTTTTTTAAAAAAAAACTTGGGAGAAGCCCTAACCGGTTTGGCTCAGTGGATAGAGCATCGGCCTGCGGACTGAAGGGTCCCAAGTTCGATTCTGGTCAAGGGCATGTACCTTGGTTGCGGGCACATCCCCAGTAGGGAGTGTGCAGGAGGCAGCTGAATCGATGTTTCTCTCTTATCAATGTTTCTGTCTATCCTTCCTCGCTGTAAAAAATCAATAAAATATATTTAAAAAAAAAAACTTGGGAGAAGAGATGTGCAAGCTGCAGGGTAAGGATGTATGGGGGGTCCCATTTGCCTTGCATATGGTCTATAAGGAAACCACAGACAGTTCCTTCTGCTCTCTGGGCCCACAGTGACCCCACCCTAAAAGCAGATGAAGAAGAGCTGCTGGTCCACCCTTAGCCCCACTCTTTTCAGTTCAGTGTTCTCATCTGGGCTGTGCTGGGCCAGTTAGAAGTTGTCCCCTCCATGACCTCCAGAGCAACCAGGACTGGACCATCGGGACACAGGGAAAGCACGTGGGCCCTGCTCAGTCCCCAGCACTGTATGAACCCCTGAGAATCCGGCATTTTCTATTTCGGGGCTATGGCTACCCTGGCTGGTGAAGAAATGCCTCCCTTGTCAGAATGAAATAATTTCTCATATGGAAGCTCTCAGAACAGAGCCGGTGGTACACTAAGATTTCAGTATGTGCTCGCTGCTGCTTACTCCTAACATTTTTGCACACCTTAGGTGCAAGATGCCAAATTGTTTTCCAATCTCAAACTCCTTAAAAAATTCTGTCCTAGCATTCCCTTTTGTATACTTTATGACTTTTGAACATTAAATCTAAAACTTGGTATCTAACATTCAACACATAAAACAGACTCGTTTGCTACATCACATGATAAAATTAATAAAATCCATATTTTGGAGAAACCAAATGAGCAAAAATTCATACATGAAAAAGTGTTTACTGAGCACTAATGTGTGTAGGGCCTTTTCTGGATGTGCAAGGGCTCAAGCAGAACAACACTGCCATCTAGGAGAGAGATAGGGATGGTTTGGTGGGGACAGTGGTGGCCTGAGGAGCAGGTGAAGGACACATCAGGAGGTATAACTGGACAGGAGTCCTACTCCTGGTCTGGATAGGGCATAGCTGGGGAAGTGGAGAGGTTTGTGGGATGAGTAACTAGAAAGATAGTCACTTCCTGTATTGGGAAAAGTCAGACTAGGAGAAGAAAAAGTTTGTGGAAAGAACAAAGTTCTAAGATATGGGTACGCCTGAGCTGCCCAATAGACAACCAGACCGAGAAAGGTGAGAGTCAGTGTGTCTTCTCCTGGAACAAAACAGACCCTGCAAATATATGGAATATCAAAACTAGATGAAAACGACCCAAGGGCAGGGATTTGGGAGCGGCTGTTAACAGTTCCAGTGTGATCACCTCACACCGCCAATGCTGGAGTACTTCCTGCTTCCTCTCTGATCCCCTCTCCCAATGTCCCATTCTGTCTCCATCCAATTTCTTGAGAGAACTTTGGTGACTTCTCTTATTCTCCTAACTTCTTTGAAATCTCCAAAATGGAGTTAAACATTTAGGAAAACAGTAGCCATTTTGAAAGACAGTGGAGTTGGAAATTAATATTGAAAATTAAGACAAGTATGAAGTTTTCATATCCACCCATAAAACCTTTTTCATGAACAATTAAAAAGAGACATATTGAATGACTGTGACTCACTCTGTATGGCCCTGGAAAACATTCACAGAGTGGATGGACGGGTCCCTAAAATCCCACAGACGGAAGGTCGTGTCACGGGAGGAGGTTACCACGAGCCGCTGGGTGGGGTGTGTACAACAGTGCGTGAGTTCTTGGTCATGCCCTACAATACAACCAAAGATGACAAAAGTGCAAGGTCACCCATCTGCAGATACAGTTAGAGTAAAGCTTTCTTAAAAAATACTGGAATCGAAAAACAGTCTTTATGGTCTCTATTGCTAGTATTTATTCACCGTAAAAGTAAACACAAGGAATCATTTAATGACAGCATGTGTGGTCACAGTGGGACCATTGTTCCCTCAGGGGCTGGAAGTCCTTTCACTTGTACATTTAAAAGGATCATGACACTGAGTGAGTGTAACCCAGTTCCTGATCCAAACAGTTAAGAGGTCTGGCAAATCTCTGTTAAAGGCTCAGCGTGCAAACTAATTAATTGTTAGTTCTTCACTTCCCAAATGACCTCTAATAATATTTGTGGAGCCTTCTGTGAAATACAGTCTTTCACAATCAAACAGAAAATGCACCTACTGACAAATTTGAAAAATACTTGTGATGGGCAGAATTCTAAGATGGCCTGGTATACACACCCTGTCTGATACCTTCCCTTGAGTTTGGGCAGAACCTGCAAATGTGATGAGCTACCATTCTGGTCATCTCAGTACATTATAAGGCAAAATAGACTTTGCAGCCACAACTAAGGCCTCCAAACAATGTAGTTTTGAGTTCATCGAATTCAAAAGATGTCCTAGTGGGCCTGACCTGATCAAATGCGCCCTTTAAAGGGTCCAAGGCAGCCCTGGCTGGTGTGGCTCAGTTGGCTGGACCATCGTCCCATAGACCAAAAAGTTGTAGGTTCAATTCCTGATCAGGGTTGCAGATTTGATCCCCGGTCTGGGAGTGTATGGGAGGCAAACAATTGATGTTTCTCACATCTGTGTTTCTCTCTTTCCCTTCCTCTTTCTAAAACCAATAAAAAAAAAAAAAAAAAAACATATCCTCAGGTGAGGATTAAAAATAATAAGAATAAAAGTGTCCAGCAGAGATGCTCTCTTGCTGGTGTTGGTCTGGAAGAAATCAAACGGCCATGGTTAATATACTAATAGTACCTCTCGATGGGGACCATGCTAGATCCTAAAAGCAGTCCCCAGCCCAAAATTCCTGACCAGCGGAACTATAAGGTTATAAATTCATGTTATTTTAAGACACCACCTTTGTGGAAATCTGTTATAAAGCTACGGAAAATGAATACACCAGCATATTTCAAATTTTTAGATACTACACGCTACAATAAAATCCCCTAAAGATACAATTAGCTACCAACAGTTCTACTAGAAAGGATTTCTGAAAAATCACAACCTGAGGATCCAGAGAACTAAAACTAATTCTGGACAGAGAGGAATTTGCAAGGTAAGATATAAATAAACACATGCACATAAATCACAAACACACTGCTGGCAGGCCAGGGCTGAAGTACCTGTCAGAGAGTGAACGAGCTCCGCCGTCTCCACGTCATACAGGTTTGCTGTTCGGTCCCAGGAGGCCGTCACCACCTGCTTCCCCCCAACCAGCCAGTCAGCAGCTATGACTACTCCCTGGTGACTCTTAAGGGAAGTCAATGGCACCCGGATGGTAGGACAGTCGCTAGACACGTCTCCGTCCACATCAGGCTCATCCTTATCAGAGCACTCAACTTCGTCCTCGCCACATATCTGCAGATAAAGGTGAGAGCAGAGAACTCCTGAGAACTGTGGGTCTTTCCTGGCACGGCTACACAATCAGACTGTGTCACTTGTCTTTCTAGGACTTGATCATCATTATCACAATACTGGCACAGTACATAGTACATAATTGGTGCTCAATAAATGTTTATCACCTTTATGATTATGTGCTTGGCTAAAACCAGGGCCAAATATAAGGAAAGAAAAAAGTCAGGGGTACTATAACATCATGTCCATTTCCACTAATCAACAAAATGGCAAATAAAATGATTCTCAACATTTTAAGTTTTTGTCATGTATTAGATATGTAATAAAACTAAACAAATACAACTGAAAGTCAATAATTCATAATAAAAAAGAAATATTACAATTCTCAAGTGTCTGCCTAAGATATACTTAGAATTCTATTGCTATAACAATAGATATGAAAGTTCACTTTATTGTCATACAAACCAACCAAGTCTTTTGTCAAAAGCTAAAGATAAAATAAAAACATAATAATCACCGTAGGCTTCAGCTCTTTAAGAAAATATGTTTATCTATTCATTTAACAAATATTTATCAGGTGCTTACACAGTGCTATACAAAAGACTGGGCACAGAGCAGAGAAGGAGACAAACTCTGCTAACATGTATAAGGAACAATGAACAGCAAGGTGCACACCCCCTACTGCAATGAAGCCAGAGAATGGCAAAGTCCCCGCCTCAGGGAGCTAACATGCTAGCAAAGACAAGCCACACATGTGAGGGTGCATGCACACATGCACACACACACTAGTATGGACATATGTGTTGTGTATATACACACACTAGTGTGGGAATACACAGCATGTGTACACACAGGGATAAGTGTGACATGTACACACACATAGTATAGTGATATTTGTAATACACACACAGTCCTAGTAAAGGGATATGTGTCACATGCACATACACAGATTCAGGCAATAATAAGTGCTAAGAAGGAAAATAAAGCAAGATGAGGAGATGGACAGTCATAAGGGCTACTCTTTTATTCAAAATGATCAGAGAAAGAATCTCTGCTAAAGTAATATTTGACTTGGGATGTGACGAAACAAGATCGTATTTAGGGGAACAGTGTTCCCCGCCAAGGGAGCAGAAGATGCAAAAGACAAGAAGGGAGCAGATGAGCTGCAGGCTAAGAGATTACAGAGATGTTACCAGTGTAAATCAGGTAAAACTTGGAGAAACAGAAAGGACTTTGGATTTTATTGTGTGTGTGCTGGAAAATCACTAGATGGTTTTGAATAAGGAAGAGAGATAGTCTGACTCATGCTTTAAAGAACCAATGTTCTGTGTGAACATTCCAGATGGTTGAACTGTGTCTCCCAAAATTCATGTTGAATCCTCAACCCCCAGTACTTCAGAATGAGACAGTACGTGAAAATGGGGTCTTTACTTTAAAAAAAAAGTTTTTATTGATTTTTAAAGCGAGAGGAAGTGAGAGGGATAGAGAGATAGAAACACCGATGACAGAGAATCACCGATGGCTACGTCCTGCACAACCCCTACTGGGGATCAAACCTGCAACCCAGGTATGTGCCTTAACCAGGAATTAAACCCTGGACATCCTGGTTCCTGGGTCGCCGCTCAACTGCTGAGCCACCCCAGCTGGGGTCTTTAGAGAGGTAATTAGGGCCTGGCCGAGTGGCTCAGTTGGTTACACATCATCCTACGCACCCAAAGGTTGCCGGTTCGATTCCTGGTCAGGGCATATATCTGGGTTGCGGGTTCTATCCTGGTCAGGACATGTACGGAAGGAAGGCAACCAATCAATGTTTCTCTCTCGCATCGATGTTTCTTTCTCTCTCTCTCTCTCTCTCTTTCTCTCCCCCCCCCCCCTTCCTCTCTCTAAGTAGTGAGGATTTAAAAAAAAAAAAAAGGTAATTAGGGTTAAAATGGGGTCATCTGGGTAGGCCCTAATCTAGCATGACTGGTGTCCCTAAAAGAGGAGAGGAGGACAGACACACAGAGATGGCCACATGAGGACATTGGAAGATGGCTGCCTACACACCCAAAGTCCTAGGCCTCAGGATGCCAGTAAGAAAAATTATGGATGATTTACCAGTGTTTAGTCTAAACAATAAGATGAAAGATAATGGCTGAAACAGGGAACAAAACAGAAGGAGCGGTTGTGGGAACATGCAGAGCTCAATTTCATACACATTAGTTTTGCAATGTCTGTAAGACACCAAGTAGAAATTGAGTAAGTAGTTAGATGTCATAGAAGTCTAGAGTTAAAGAGTCGAGGACAGTATGCAAACCTGGGGGTCAGCAGCAAGGCATGCTCCTTAAAATCACAGGTCTAAGATCAACTAGAGCAGTGATGGCGAACCTATGACATGCGAACTCATTTTTTTTGGTTGATTTTTCTTTGTTAAATGGCATTTAAATATATAAAATAAATATCAAAAATATAAGTCTTTGTTTTACTATGGTTGCAAATATCAAAAAATTTCTATATGTGACACGGCACCAGAGTTAAGTTAGGGTTTTTCAAAATGCTGACACGCCGAGCTCAAAAGGTTTGCCATCACTAAACTAGAGAGTAGTGTGGGAGGAAAACAGGAGAGAGGGTAGCAATAACCTACAAGCAAGTGAGAGGGCAAGGAGGGGATCCACACACAGGTGAGAGGGCTGGGAGGTGACCCACAGGCAGGTGAGAGGGAAAAGTGTCAGAGACCCAGGAGTCATTGGTAAGAGCAGGTGACCCAGCCAATGAGACTCAAGAGGAAGAAAAAAAATGAAACACACAAGAAGTGAGATGGAGAGAGGGTCACACTGAGATAGTGATTTAGGAGGAGCCCAAGGAGTGACTGCAAGTGTCTGCTGGGTGGGCAACATGGATGGGATGCTGAAGAGAGAAGCCCAGCAGGGACACAGCGTATCCTAGAGAAGAGTGAGGGAGAGGAAAAGGAGTGCAAGGACAAGTCTGAGGTCTGCATAGGAAAACCAATACCCCATGGCTCCTGGTGGGATAAAAGGCTCAGATGGGTTACGAGACGGCTACTACGCCCTGTCTGTGTGCTGCTGGGAACGACACAAGAAAATAAGGAGGCAGGTGAAAATCTGCAGAAGGGAAAGTGAGGAAGTCACCCAGGAATGTGGCAGAAACGTGGCCTGGAGGAGTGTCACAGCCCAGAGTTGCCTGGTGGTGGGGCTGGTCACAGGGTGCTCATTGATCAATGCGGGAGGGACAGAGGAAATGCCAGATTTAACACGGGTGGATTTGTCCAGGAGAGAACGCACAATCTAGCGGCAAAGTTAAACATAAATGATTACACAAAATTATCTATTCCATATGAATGTTAAATGCTACAAAGGATGCTCCGAGAGTAAGGCAGGCAGTCTGCAACACTGAGAGGTACCTGCAGGATGAGGAGTGGGGTGAGGGGAGAGTTCTAGGAAAAGAACCAGGAGGGAGAGAGAAGGTGGGGAGTCAGGGCAGTAAGCCCATCCAGGGGTTGGAGCAGGAAGGGGACGCAAACAGAAACTAAGGGTCTACAAGGGCTCACTGAGGTGACTCACTGAGATTCGATGCTACAAAGACCATGCCTGATTTCATAGAGAATAGGCTGGACATGAGCAGTCAGATCTGAGACAGGGAGACTAGTTAGAAGACTAGTTAGTGATCTGGACTAGGGACGGTGACAGCAAATAAGAAAGGTGTGTTCCTGTGGAGTGTAGCCTGCTCAAGGTAAACCATTCCCTGCCTGGTAAACAGCATCTAGAAGGGAAAAACAACAGTCACTATACGTCCTGATGGAGACACTGTGGCCCAAACTCTCCTTCAGGGGACACTGGTTCCTGGGCAATGGGGCTTTCAGCCCTCACAGCCACTCCTAAGGAGCTTTGCTATCTCCTGGGCTGACAGGTGGGGGTGTGTGGAAGGGGGGTGGTGTCTGGATGGCTCTGTGGGAAATGCAGAACAGGGGTGCCAGGTAGAGGAAACTCAACAGAGACCTCAGGGTGGATGTCACAAAAGGAGTGTCACAGGGAGACAGAAGTAGATCCAAGAATTATTTAGGAACCAGAACCAGAAAGACATCAAGTATTAGGCAGAAATGGAGGTGGGGAGGTGAGAGCAGGGAAGAGTCAAAGACAAGTGACAGTTCTGTCACCTAGGCCTTCATCAGTTAGCCTAACAGGCTCTTCACTAATTATTCTAATGGAAGGAGTGACAAGTGGGCACACAAAGGAGTAACTTCTGCCAGGGGAGTGGGGAGGTCTATGGCAGGCCCTGTGCGCAATGTGGCCTTGGAACAGTGCAGTGGAGACCCTGATGTGGGAAGGGTGCAGGAGTGCAGAAGAACGGCCTAGAGCTCCCATGTAAAAAGCCCTAGTTATCAGGATCCACGTTTGAGAGCTCAAACAGAGTCACAACATTTACAGAAGTCATTTTAGCAAACTACACAAGGAATTAAAATATATTTAAAACACAAATGTAATAAGTCATATTAAAAAATAATTGTAAAACCTTTAACCCTAAACTGGCAAAGGGCAAGAGGTGAAAGGGTGAGAACTGTTTGCTTTTTGCCACTGTCTTGGAGACAATCTATTTAACTTTAGTCATTTTTACTGCCAACGACGTATGAACAGAAATGTCCAAGAACTGCCAATTTCATACTAAGAACCTACTGAGAACCAGCTGTCCACCGAACTACAAGTCCCTAAATCACATGTTATCATGTAGGAAGGACCAATGGGAGCCCATATGTAACTCATATCAATTTTCACTTTCAAATGGAGAAAATTCACCTCACTAAGTTAAATTAATTACTTAACATTATACAACTAGCATGATACAGTGATCAAACAGGCAATCTAAAACTGTTTACATGAGCCCTAAGCTGGTTTGGCTCAGTGGATACAGCATTGATCTGCGATTTGAAGGGTCCTGGGTTCAATTCTAGTCAAGGGCACAGGCTCAATCCCCATTAGGGGGCATACAGGAGGCAACCAATCAATGATTCTTTCTCATCATTGATGTTTCTCTCTCTCCCTTCCTCTCAGAAATCAAAATTATATTTTTAAAAAAGAAAAAGAAAAATGGAAAGGAATAACTTAAAAAAGAAAAACATTTTAAAACTGTTCACAGGATATCATCCAAGTATTTCTCTATCAACATGGTGGATGCCAAATTAAAAGGAGAAAATGTCTGTCCAAAAACTGTACTGATTCAAAATGATCAAGATCTTAAACAGACTACAGTTTATTTCAGAATCTAGAACTGCTAAAAAATCCAGCAGAAGCTTAAGAACTTAAAGAGACTTGTATGCACTGGGTGGCAACTGCAGAGGGGAGTAATCAAGTCCTCACTAGGGAAGGCCACACAGAACCCTGGCAGCCACTGGAGCGGTTCCAGTCATGCACTATGATGAAGGCTCCTCTTTAATTCAGCCTAGGCTTTCCCCAGGTGCCCCAACTCCTGAGGCAGCAACTCCAAGCATGAAAAGTCCCTGTGTCTAATACAAGCAAAATCATAAAGGAGAAAAGTCACTTTAATATTCTACGTAAACTATTAAGTTTTTTAAATGTAATTACTCCTCAACACAAGGGTTTGAAAAACAATAAATAAAAAATAAAATAGAAAGTAATTACTATATATAATTTTCCCCTTTAACAAGACTGGTGCTTTCTTACTTATTTTGGGGGGAGGGGGAACAACTTCACACAATGTTAACTCACTTTCTCAACTTTCTGAGCATTCATCCCACCCTTTTCTCTGCCCTGTCCTCCATCATAACCCAATACTTGTCTCTTGAATGAATGAATCTGTTAAGTATGACATATAATCAATAGTTTGGTAATTCCACATGGGAAAAACCTGTGTTAAAATAAAATACAAGGGGGGTAAGGGAGGCCAGGGGAAGGTCAAGGGGAAAAAAAAAAAAGGAGACATATGTACTACTCTTTGTGATACTTTAAGCAATAAAACAAAATTTAAAAAATAAATAAGTAAATAAAATACAAAATATGCTCAATCAAAAATGAGCTGTTAATAAAAGCTCTTAACTAAAGAAAAGTCATCACTGTAGTTATTAATTATTTAACTCACCTCTAAATAGAACAATGTTTAAAATGTTTTAGAAAGAAAAAATAAAGGAGTATTCAGAGGCAGAAACATCAAAACTAGAAGGTTACCATCATCCACCAACAATTATGACCAAAAGTAAACTGAAACTTCATGTTTACATTAACTGCATGACATCACTGAATTCCCTCTGCCTGGTACCACTTCCACCTGTGTCAGCAGGGCAGGGAAAGGGTTCACCAAATGTAAGGACAAGACAGCAAAAAACTAGATCATTTCACTCAAAAGAACAATTAAGATCTCTGCATGATTATAAATAGTATCCAATATTACAAGAGTAACTAAAGGATTTATGGTTTAAATCTATTGATTCACTCTTCTTCTCAATATGCAAACTCTTTTATTACCTACATTAAAACTTTATCCACATAAAAATGATGTTATACATGCCACTGATTTTAGAAAGTTGTCTAAAATCAAATATGTGCCCAGCCAGCATGGCTCAGTGGTTGAGCATCGACCTGTGAACCAGAGGTCAAAGTTCGATTCCTGGTCAGAGCACATGCTTGGGTTGCAGGTTCAATCCCCAATGGAGGGGCGATCAAGCAGGCAGGCAGAGGGGTTAGGGGCGATGAGGTAGGCAGGCGAGTAGTTAGGGGCATCAGGCAGGCAGGCAGAGGGGTTAGGGGCGATCAGGCAGGCAGGCAGAGTGGTTAGAAGCAATCAGGCAGGCAGGCGAGTAGTTAGGGGCGATGAGGCAGGCAGGCAGAGTGGTTAGGGGCAATCAGGGAGACAGGGAGGCGAGTGGTTAAGAGCCAGCAGTGCCGGATTGTGAGAGGGATGTCCGACTGCCAGTAAGTCGGACATCCCCTGAGGGGTCCCTGATTGCGAGAGGGTGCAGGCTGGGCTGAGGGACCACTCCCCACCCCATGCACAAATTTCATGCACCAGACCTCTAGTATATAAATAAAGGTACTTCTTAGACAGAGCCTTGGTCTGCACAGGTTGCCAGAACGAAGCACCAAGACTGGGTGGCCAAGATCAAAGGATGGCCAATATGTGTTCTGGAAAGAACTTTCTTCCTGGCGTGCAGATGGCCACCTTCTCATTATGTCCTCACATGGCCTCTCCCAGGTGTATACAAGGAGAGATCTTTGGTGTCTCTTCTTGTAAGGGCACTAATCCTTTAGGATCAGGACCTTGCTCTATGACACCATGTAACCTTCATTTCTTCCTCAGAGGCCCTATCTCCAAATGCAGCCATAGTGGGGTTACAACTCCAACCTCTGAATGTTGGGGAGACACAAATATTCAGTCCATAAGATATTACAAAGTTATCCTAATATTTGCAGACATCCAGAACCCCACCAACATACCCCAGGTCACGTTTTCAAGTAAATGTGCTGCTTACACTAGTGTCGGCCACAGGCTGGGGTGTTGGCAGCTGAACCGCGTATCTCCAAATGTGAGCAGTCTGGTCTCCAGAAGCTGAGGAGAGAAATGGGGAAATCATCCAAGTGCACACCAGATGTAAGAAGTGCTTCTGTAAGGCTCAGAGCATCCTCAGAAGTGTGTAACTTAGTGATCGTTACTGAGATGAATGTACTTCACTCAAGTAGCTATTTCTGAGACCGCATAATGCTATTGAGAATAGAGCAAATGCACAAAATTAAGGTAATTACTTATAAAAATGTTCCCCTTTTAATTTTAGGGTGGAAAGCTATGAGAGTTCAGAGTAAATTTACAAATAGATTTTATTCTCCAACTACTGTCCTAACCTAAATAAACTGAAACCGAATTATACTCTAACTGGTGCCTATAATAGGTTCTGAGGTATTTCAGAAAAGTGAGTAACACACAAATGCACATTCCCATCCACTCAACACTCATGGACCTCACGATCTGCCAGGCACTACATAAGTACTAACATCTCACTTTCATCAGCCAACTCTGCAAAGTGATGCTTGGACTTGGGACTGGAAAGAGAGGGCAGCTGAAGGCCCAGAAAGGCAGCAGATGTGCCAAACAGTCGTCTCCACTGACCCTCACAAGAGCACCTGCTGAATCCCATCTTGTCTTCTGGCTGCAGCGCTTACCCAAAGAATTGGCCACACGCAGAGGGTGGTACCTTTCTCAGGTGTCAAATGCATTTACTGCCTGACTTGCCAATCTCTCTTCGAAAGAGCACCAGCCCACTACTTTATCTGTTTCAGTTTCCATCAGTTCCCTTCTGAGTTGTCTCTTGATTTCACCCACTCCTTTCCAACCTCTTGTTGTTGCTGGTCTCCCTCCATCTTTCCTCTTCCCAATTACATAACAAACAGTTGATTTAATAAAGTTTAAAGTCCTCATCTACCTTATTCCCCAAATGTTTTTTCAGGTATCAACTAGCTACCGTGGTCAGGCCTATGACTCCCAAACTGACCTTCCCACTGTATTCTACTCACATGTAACAGCACCCAATTAGAACTACTTTTGTCCTTTATCCCAGGGATCAGCAAAATCATGCCCATGGGCCAAATCCAGGCAGCCACCCCTTTTGCAAATAACATTTACTGCACTCAGCCACGTCCACTACTTTCCCACTAACACAGAGCTGGGTAGTTATGACACTGACCCTGTGGCCCTCAAAGATGAAAACATTTACTTCTGGTCCTTTATAGACAAAGCCCTCTGACCTCTGGTCCATCCAAACACTTATACTTCAAGATTACTGTCAGTGTCCCCAAAACACCATAGGGGTTGGACATTTTATAGGAAAACTTCTCAGTATAATAATGAAGGCATTTTTAAAATCACTATGTAAAATACGATAAACCCAAGCTACCACAGCTTAGGAGAACTACCTAGAAAAGAATAAGAATGCAGACTGCTATGACTTGGAACTACTATTTTTCTCATTTTTGTATTTGAAGTGCTGAATTAGGAACTCGGCAGGAATAATGGGCCTTAGAGAACTGAGTTACAGTCTGCTGAGAATCATCATGGCACAAGCAGGGAAAGTGGGCAACTATGATGTCCTTCATAAAGACACCAAGAACATGGATCCATGTTAATCTCACAATAAAGTCAAGCTCATGTAATTCGCAATCCACTACTGATTAAAAGAAGTACTACTTAATGTATTTTTCTTATTTCTCACATAATTCATAAAAGTCTACTAACACACATCTAACTTTTGTACAAGACATGGATAATCCTGATGCTACTGATAAGAGAATGATTATAGCTGTTTTAAGATTATCAACAACTTTGTTCAATAAAGAAATTAAATCAACATACCAGTGAGAGCCAACTGCTCTGATGGGTGGAATTTTATAGAATTTACTGCAAAACAAAAATATTACATAAACAGGTTTAAAATAAAACATCATCAGTATCTATTATAGCTACAGAATGTATTACAAAGTTAAATTTAAAAAGTAAAAGAACTATGGTAGTTCAAAGTTAGATCCTCCCATTCAGTTAACCTGTGATTAAACGTGTAAGTTACAGAGAACTGAGATACAATAAAAATACCCAATATCAGCTGTCAAATTGCCAAAGTGCAACACACAGAGAAAAAAAATATTAATAATCCATTTATTTTTATCCATAGAAAAGGCATCTAGAGTTAAAGATAATCTGCAGAGTCCAGTGGGGGACACTGTACTGCCCACCCAGCTGGCCCTAGGCCATGCCCTCCTCCCAGCTCTCAGCACCCGATAGTCCGGTCACCCACGGAAGCCAGCCTTCACACCCACACCTGAAAGGAGATGCGGGTCCCCTAAATGGAATATAAGGAAGTTTTGCCAGCCTTCAACAAATTCTCTCCTTCAGTGAGATTCAGTTAGCTACACCATTAAAATTATATTTTTCTAAGGACTGAAAAATGCAGAAGATACTGTTCTACTGTTAACACCAAACAGGTAGCTGCAGGAGGAGCTGGTCAAAGAACTGTGATGCTTAGGCCATCACCACATCCTAACAGATGAACAATATAAATACTCCCAATTTCAGTAAGACTCACTGCTAGAGAGGAGGAGGAGCAGCCAGAATTTGCCTGCACTACTGATGGAGCAGAAGCAAAGGGTGGAAGCACACGCTCTGAGACTGTTTGGGAGTACCTGCTCATGCTGACCACCACGAACTGGCCCACCTGGAGACACTCACCACACAGAATGGCCACACATGCGAGCATCCTGGGCAGGACTGAACAGGAGCTCATTGCATGTCAGCCCCCTCCCGCTCTCACCTTCACCTCCTCACTCCAGCAGAAGACAAACAGACTCACTTCTCGATGGGTTGGTAGGTGGGAACACCTTTAACTCTACAAGCGAAAGGCAGATGCCACCTAGAAATTTATCTACGAGAGTTCAGAGGGGGGTGGTGGCTGGTGAGGGGCAGTGAGCCATGGGGCCACCTGACAGAACATTGAAGATGATGCATTCCAGATGGAAGGACCCACAAAGGAAGTGGGACAAGAGTGGGTGAAATTTGGTCAGAACACTTGGACACACAGGGTATACACAGAAAGGGCAGGGAAGAGCTGCTGTGTTAACTACAGCATCAATGGCAGGCAAGGGTCGGGGCAGACAGCAGCCTGCATTGGGTCCGATTATGGGAAAGTGAATCTAGAGTGACTACGCAGTTTTTGATAAATAACACACATATTTCAGTTTCAAAACTATCTACCTGTGCCTGTCTGTGCAACATTAAATAAAACACAGACAATTCCTCTATGACGTTGTTTAGGGAGCTGAGCTTTCCCTTTGTGAAGCCCACACTTAGAGGAATGGCATCTGTCTGTCTATGAGAATGCCCCACTGTCCTGACACCAACTCAGCAAGCCTCCCATCTGGAGACCTGTTTATGTAATAGCACTCACCTGACCCCACATGGCCGGTGTACTTGATGAGGCACCTCCCCGTCTCGATGCTCCACAGCAATGCTGTGTGATCTGCAAATTGAAACAAATAAGAGGAACTGAGCTACATGGTCTTTTTAATAAAAGAGTAAGACAAATATTCTAAAAATGAGAAGTTACATTACCACTACTATCTCTTGCAACTCTGATTATAACTAGTTTGTAATTCAACTGATCAGTTTTAAAACTGTAAAACTTACAAACACTTCCAAAAAGATGGGAGGAGCTGGTGACTTGTCTGGGGTCATTTACAGGCAAGGGGAAAAACCAGGGTCCTGAGTTCCTGGTTCACTGTTACAGACAGCACCCCACTGGAGATTTAAATACAGAGGTCATTTACATCTCAGGTTCATTTTTTTAGTGAAATATTAAAACTTTTCAGAACGCCATGTGATATTCAAATGTAAATAGCATCTAAATACAGTTCTAAATTATTTGATATTTAATAAATATTCCTTTAGACCTTTCCATTTATGGGCATAAGAAAAAGATAAAAAGTAGACTTAATAAGAAAATCTGAAAAATAAATGCCAATTACCCAAGTAAGATTTCAGAGACATCAGAAAAGGACCTTTTTATTCTTCTTTATTAGTTGTAAATTCCATAAATAATCTGGGATGCTCATGTGCAAACAGAGTTTTAAACAAGAGAAAAATTTTTTTTCATCATTCTAACTAGTTTTACATTTTCTATTTCCACTTGAAAAGGCAGATTCTAGTGAGTAACTTGTCACAGCTGGAAAATTCTTTTCCAACAAGTGGGCACCATTTTAATTTTAGCAATTTTTAATTGAAGGAGCATTAATTAGACAGCTTTCAAAAAATGCCTTTTCTTTGGTGAAAAGATAGGAGTCTCAATAAGGCTCACCCTGTGATTCCCACAGGCAAACTCAGGGCAGCGGTAGCCCCACTTCCCTAAATCCTGGGACAGCCCCCTTCAGAGACCACATAGCACTTCCCTCAGCCACACCTTACAAATGGGAAAAATGGGAAATGTACTTTCAAAAGCAGATATACAGTTAGCATAAACAACAAGAAAGCTAATCAAAAAAATACCTAATATGTTTAAAAGACATTCCACCTTCTGCTGCCTCGAATAGTGATTCCTTAACAGAGTTGACTATATACCCTGGGGAAAAATGGCATCATACCCACAGACTAAGACAGGCCCGACAGGGGCATCAGAACTAAGCACTAAGTCAAGGCTTTGTATGAATGACTGCTCGGCCACATGTCTGCTCCCAGGGTCACTCTGCTACCAACACCCAAAGGTCATTCAATCACACCAGCTGTTGTGCAATCATGCGTGACAAGCAGTGGGGCTAGCTCTGGACTCACCAGCAGATGCGGTCCCCAGCACCACGGGCTGTGTTCTCGCCACACTGACATCCCAGATGCCATCCCTGTGGCCGATGTACTCCTTCACAAGCTGGCACACAGCCCTTGATGTGGTGGCCTTGAAGCTGGAGACAATCTAAAATTGTGACAGGAAAGAATATTGTAGATGATTTACTGAGCAAATGTTTTCCAAGTTAAAAAAGGATGTTTTGAAAATGCATAAATCATTGAACAGAATATTAAAAACACTAAAGGAACACAACATAAATGCAAGCAGTGGAACTCATCCAGCTGGATATCACAAAGCAAGAATGAAGTCCTTACAAAGGCCCCAAAGAGCCCCAAGTCCCCCACTTCCCATAAGCATGTCCTACTATGAAAAGCCTATTAATGTGTTGCAAGTCATTCTTCCAAAATCCAAATCATCAAAAAATTTCCAAATTCTGAAAGATATACCCCAAACCCTTAACACTAATTACTTTTATTATTGGGGACTTTCGTTGTGTTTCTTTTTGTTTTGGGTGACTGATACGAACCACGTTATTTTTGGGAAACACCAAAAGATAGCCCTTCTAAACAGCATTTTTCCAGCATTGTTTGGTGACCACACCACACTAGGAGGAGGCACAGGGCAGTGATAGCAGCCAGGGTGCAAGCAGCTCACAGTCTAATGGGGACAGACCCGAGCACCACACAGGCCACAAGATGGTGCGGCATCACCTAACATGACACAAACAATTCTCCCTTTCCTTTTAGGAAAAGGAGAAAGCATGTGAGGAAGACACTAATTCAACACAAAGAACTCCTCAGAATTTCACTTGTAAAACTGTAAAATCAAGTGAAAAAGAAAAATTGGTGGCATTATACAGCTGTTTGAAACTCTGAGTTAGCAAAACCCTAAAAAGATGTCTCAGTCTATTCTCAGTGAAAACACAACCCACTGTTGCATCAACTCAGGTGTGAGTACCAAGTTATTTCTAACACAGAGGGTAACAGAACAAATGTGTTAGGAGACCCATTCTCACCAGCATCATAAACAGGTTCTGTCTGACTTGACTTAAATATACATGGAATTACAAAAGGACCAGGTCAACCTCAAACCTTCTTCTTTTTGAAAGCTCATATCCTACTCAACCTAGTAAGATTGTCCCTCCACGTGGAAACGCTGCTGTCTAGGTGCCATTCATGTGTTAAATAATGTAACATTTAGAAAGGGGTGAGTTGAAAAACATGCAGAGCCTACCCCCACTATAAGTGGTAGCAAGTTTAATTTTCCAAATGTGCCATTTCTCACACAGACTGTATAAATATGAGAAATGAACAACTGAAGCCACATCCATCACCGGCCCCACGGGAACAGTAAAGACCGAGGGGCACTGACTCACAAAAACATTTCTGGTGGATTTCTGGAAGAGGTAATAGGCAGTCCATAAACATTAACACATCACTCCATGTGCTGCTTCCTAATGCCATTACATGGTGACCAACTCTTAGCTCTGCTCTAAAAGTGTTAACTGCTTAGCCACAATTGCAAGGAGGCCCCACCAAAGACTGAACTACTCAGAGAAAACATTCATGACAGAAAAGCAACATGATGAAGCAACAAATGGACACTCACACATCCTAACTATCATTTTAACTGAGATATAATCTATACTACTTTAACAAAATCCGATGTGTGAATGTTTGCGCAAGTTTCTTTCAAGTGGTTTGGGGATTAAACTGTCGTGCCTGCCTACCTCCTTCCTAGTTTGCTCAGTGAACTTCGGTTTTCTACTATGTCACCAACCACGTGACCTACCTACCTGCTGAGTCAGAAGGAGAAAAGTGATAAACCCAGAACACAGTGCCTACCTGCTGCACTGTACAAGCTCTACTACCCAGAATATGCATGGCACCAATCAGAATACATTCTGATATCAGATCATTTCTCCCATTTTTAAATAATATCATATATGTTCACTGTTATTCTTTAAGATGGGTACACTCACACTGTGCACAATGCTAGAAAGATCATTACCCATATGCTTCTCATAAATTCAGATCAATTTCTAGTATCCAAAATGATTGGGCTTTAAAGCAAAGTGTTATTGTACACACCCTTACCTTTGCCCCAATCTTATTTTTCACTACTCATAGTAAGGAATAATTTTATATAACCCTTTATTCCTCTACTTCAAAAATTATCAGAGCCCTAGCCCATTTGGCTCAGTGGATAGAACGACGGCCTGCAGGATGAAGGGTCCTAGGTTTGATTCCGGTCAAGGGCACATGCCCAGGTTGATCCCCAGTAGGGGACATGCAGGAGGCAGCCAATCAATGATTCCTTCTCATCACTGATGTTTCTATCTCTCTCTCTCTTCCTCTCTGAAATCAACAAAAAACAAAAAACAAAATTATCAGAAAGTTTTGGCATTCTAAGACCTTATATTATATACATAAGCTAAAATCACTAAATAAACAATATATCTCTCTATATATAAAAGCCTAAGCGAAGGTTAAGACTAAATGACCAGAACGACCATTCACTATGATGCACACTGACCACCAGGAGGCAGATGCTCAATGCAGGAGCTGTTCCCTGGTGGTCAGTGTGATCCCACAGCCAACCTCCCCCAGTCCCTCCCTGCAGCCGGCCGATCAACCTCCCGCGGCCCCCTCCCTCCCACCCTCTCCCCCGCTGGCCCAGGCCCACTGCCGATGTGCCCCAATCGAGGACGGGGCCGGCCAGCCAACCTCCCACAGCCCCACCCCTGGCCAGCCAGCCCCGATCGCTGGCCAAGCTGAGGGACCCCACCTGTGCATGAATTCGTGCACTGAGCCTCTAGTACTATAATAAGAAGTTAAATGAGGAAGAACATAACCTCACTGCATTTGAAAAAAGTTTAACGTTGATTTATTAAAAACTTAAAGTCTGGTTAAGTTTAAGCTAAATACATCAAAAAAATTTAACCATTTACATTCCAAAGTTATTTAAAAAAAAACAGCCCTAGCCAGTTTGGCTCAGTGGACAGAGTGTAGGTCTACAAACCAAAGGGTCCTGGGTTCAATTCTAGTCAAGGGCATGTACTTGGTTGCAGGTTCCTCCCCAGCCTGAGCCCTGGTCAAGGCTTGTGCAGGAGGCAACCAATCAATGTGTTTCTCTCACATCAATGTTTCTCTCTGTCTTTCCCTCTCTCTTCTACTCTCCCTGGAAATCAATGGAAAAATATCCTTGAGTGAGGATTAACAACAACAACAACAAAAAAACACACACAGACAGACAAGAAAATGTCAGCAATACTCAGATTTTTAACTAAGAATTTCCAAAGACTTCCAAGTGAGCAGAAAGACCAAGTCTGCAACATTAATTGCAGTTAATCTCACTTTGGATGTTAAGGGAAGTAACTTTAAGCTCAGGGAACAAACTGGAAAAACAATAGCTAACAATAACTATTTATGTCTTTACTAGGGGCCCGGTGCACGAAGATTCATGCACTGGGGGTGGGTCCCTCAGCCCGACCTGCACCCTCTCCAATCCGGGAGCCCTCAGAGGAGCCTTCTCCAATCTGGGAGTTTCTGTTTTTTTTTCTTTGCTTCATTGGTGGAGATTTCCTGGAAGTTTTAGGATATCTTCCCTTTAATTTTTCCTAGACACTCTGATTTTACTTATGTCTCTCACCTTTGCTTTCCCTCCATCCCCCACCGCAACAGTAACTTGCTCCAGGCTCACTTTGCTCTAGTGTCTAAGAGATCTGTCTGCCACCAGAACTACGATTCCCAGCATTCCTGGTGCTCCCCACACTCTGGGCTTCCACTTTCGGTCCTGGGGCTGCCACCAGAACTACTATTCTCAGAATTCCTGGTGCTCCCCGTGCTCTTGGTTTTCCCTTCCTGCTCTGTCTCCGTCCCACGGCCTCCCACTCTGCCAAGTCCTCCAAGCCGCCAGCTCTCCCTCTCTGCTCTCCGTCTGGCGGCTTGGGGAGCCAAGTTCCCCAAGCTGCTCCACTCTCTGCAGGCTCTCCTGCTCTGCTCTCCGCCTGGTGGCTTGGGGGAGCGACCGAGGGAGCCACGTCCCCCCAAGCTGCCAGGTCTCCCACTCTGCTCTCCGCCCGGCACCTGTGTATGCAAATTAACCCACCATCTTTGTCGGGTTGATTTGCATACTCACTCCTGATTGGCTGGTGAGCATAGTGGAGGGACAGTCAATTTACACATTTCTCTTTTATTATATAGGATAGCAGACTCACCACAAATTTAAACTTTCCCTCGGGTTTAGAAAAGGAGTGTACATTTGTTAAGATTAGGTAATTATTTTATATTTTGTATACTCAAAATACTCCAAAGTAGAGATGCATACAAAATTACCTCAAAATATTACTTCATAATAGTAATTCCTCATAGATATTTCCAAGCAATTAAATCCTGCCACTTTAAGAAGATTAGAACAAGATAATTTAAGAAAAAGCAAAACACCACACCAAAAAAAAAAAAATTGCCTTGGAGACAGACCTTCACTTCCTGATCATACTTGGAAAATTAGAGAAATTGAACTAAAACTTAACTATATTTCAGAATGTAATTTTCATTGCTTTATACCCATATATTAGTTTTCTCCAAATTCAAAGTCTCTGTATCAAGCCAAATAATAATACAAAATATGTTTTTCCTCAAAAAAAACACAAATTTACTGATGCATAATATATTCACCTCAACAAGTATTAGTATCTAGGTGTCAATACACTGTGGCCATTTAACAAATCTATCCTTCTAAAAACTGATTTAACACCAGAAGTTTATCTTTTCCTATCAGACATATCTAATTAAAAATATGCAACTTAGAGTATACATATGCCCACCTTAAGTACCACATTGCTGGCCCACGAGCCAGCACCTTGCATACCTTACTGGTGGAGGCCTTGTAAGTGGTCTTCAGCTTCTGAGAAAGCTGGCTGGTACTGTGACTGGCTGCAGAGACAGAGAATCGACAATCAATACAGCCATACAACTAAGGAGCCACCAACTTTCAGGGCCAGGATATTACTGCAGTCATTAATGGGATCATCCATTTCACATGGGAAGACAGTGCAATTGGGAGGGTTTGTCTGTCCATGTGGACATGGGGGCAACGGGCAATTCCTTCTTCACTCTGTGCCTACACCTATATTATAGACTCAAGTACTGCTGATCACAAAAATCAATGAATCATGTCTACATTAAATTCCAAATTCCCCCCCATATAATCTGCAGGGCACCATTCACAAATATTCCCCTTACCTTTAGTTTTCAGTTGGCCCTTACTCAGTTCTGCCCCATCGATTACTTGTCCTTCAGCAGCTAAACGCTCATTAAGAGTCTCAATTTCTCTACGCACTGGAAATAAAAAAAATTTTTTTGAGGTTAAAATGTGTCCCTAGCTGGTTTGGCTCACTGGATACAGCCATCAGCCTGCAGTCTGAAGGGTCCCGGGTTCAATTCTGGCCAAGGGCACATGCCCAGGTTGTGGGCTCTATCCTCAGTAGGCAGGTTCGATCCCGGGGGGGGGGGGGGGGGGCATGCAGGAGGCAGCTGATGATCAATGATTCACTCTCTCTCTCCTTTCCTCTCTGAAATCAATTTTTTTAAAATGTTGTTTAAAAAAAGAAAAAAAGTTAAAAATGTGTACTTTTTGTTGAAATATATTGACTACTTCCAAACCTTGAGCGTATAAAAATGTTATATATTGGTATTGTCTAAACAAAGACCAGAATAATATCCTGTAAACAAAATCACAATTTATAGAGTTCTTAAAAAATTTAAGACATGATTCCAAAAACAGAAACTCCTATGCTCTTCCTACTCGGGTAAGACATGATGCTATCAGGGTTCTCATCAAGCAGAGCTCTTGGATATCAATATAATCTTTTCCTTTGTATTTTATTCTATATATTTAAAAACATTATCCTGATATTGTCCAAAACTAAATGTAATATTACCGTCTAGCTGAGCACTGAAATCAAGGGGAAAAAACATAAAATAAAAAAACATAATATTGTTGCATGGCACTATAGAGTACCAAGTGAGGATTATATATAAGGAAGATTAAAAACTGAAGTTATGAAAAATAAATAGAAGTAGAGGTGTATGGGAACAGAAGAGGAGAGTAAAGAGGAAGGATATCCGCTCTGAAGAAGAGAATGAGCAGAGACACTGCAGGGAGGAAGCAGACACGGCTGTGCTATGGACAGATGCTATTATCCCGGTTTCCACACTATGCAGATGAGAAAAGAGACCAGTGGGAGAAGGGACTTATCCAAGGACACAACCTACTACTATAGCCTTGCAGCTGGTCCCTGTCTGGCCACAAATCCACCCAGCACTAAGGCTATGAGCCTGCCATGCTGCCTCCCAGGCCTGGACAAGATCAGTTCAGACTAGCGTGAGGCCAAGTGTCTGGGTGAAAGTGCAAATGAGATCAACTAGAAACAAGGCCAAGCGCAAAAGGCTCTGAACAAATCCAGTTTGAGCAATTTCAACTCTATCTCACAGGCAAGAAGAAGCCACTGACCCTCCAAAATTAGTCATCTGTAAATCCTACAGTTTTTCTTGAAAGACTGTACAAATTCATAAAACACAAGGCCTTAAATCACAATGGAAATTCAACAATACCGGGTCCATACAACTGTGATACTTAAAAAAATACTTAAAATCAGATGCAGTCCACAGTACCTAATTTTATTTTATAAAATGTTGGAATAATTTCTTCCTCTGTAAATTTTCAAGATGGCCTTACAAGGAAAATCCAATATCAAAACATTAAATTTTCTAATAGCAAAGTTTAAATGACATAGGATTATACTCTCTTCACTATTGACCCAACCACACCACTTAGTTCTAGAGTAAACATACTCTAATAATACAAAAGCTGTTTATTAGTATTCAATTTCTAGAATCAATTTATAAGGGACTAAAGACCTGATTATGGTTAAAAATTTTATAAACACAAACCCTGGAAAATAACAAAACTGGAAAGTAATAGAGCAGTGAGAGGTAAAAGACACATCATTTCCTAACATTTTACAAAGTATGACTTCATGTGAACTAAAGTTGACAGAGCAAAAACAGATCAAGTTTATAAAATAATTACTAGAAGAACTAAAAGCAAAAAATGCAGCAAATGTTTTCCTTTGCACAGTGGGATGGGTCAACAGGAGGAATAATTACAGATATGTTTCCTTTTTACACTAATTGATTCTTCAAGGCAGCAATTTTCAACTGCTATGTCACATCAGGCACACTGGTGTGCCACAAGAATTTTTAAAATATGCAATACCTGACTATTCAGTCAGGGGCACTGACCTCTTTTCCCTTAAATTGTCACATAAAAAAAATAACAGCCAACACAACAACAGCCATCTGGTGTGAATGAATCAAAGTTGTACCTATTTATTTGATCAGATTGGCAAAAAATATATGTTTTGATGTGCCACAGCATTTAGTAATTAGTTTATGTGTGCCATGAGATGAAAATGATTGAAAATCACTACTTTAAGGAAATAAAGAAATTGCTTCTAAAATAAAATTTTTTAGTGTTTTTTCAATTAGTTTACATACAATATTTTATATTAGTTTCAGATAAATAAAAATTGTTTTAAAAAACTAAAGACAAGAGAAAGAATATATGCATCCCTATGTTCATAGCAGCACAATTTACAATAGCTAAGATTTGGAAACAGCCTAAATGCCCATCAGCAGATGAGTGTATTAAAAACCTGTGGTACATACACACAATGGAATACTACGCTGCTGTAAAAAAGAAAGAACTCTTACCATTTGCAACAGCATGGATGGACCTGGAGAGCATCATGCTAAGTGAAATAAGCCAGTCCAAGAAAGCTAAATATCACATTATCTCACTCATTTGTGGAATATAATAAATAAACTGATGAACAAAAATAGATCCAGAGACACAGAAACATCGAACAGATCATCAAACCTCAGAGGGAGGGCAGGGAATGGGGGGGGAGGGGGGGGGAGATCAACCAAAGGACTTGTATGCATGCATATAAGCATAACCAATGGACACAGACAGTAGGGCAGTGAGGGTCTGTGATGGGGGGCGAGTGAGTGAGAAGAGATCAATGGGGGGAAAGCGAATCACGTAAAACTTTCAACAAGGAAGAGTTTAAAAAGAAAAAACTAAAGACAAGCCCTGGCTGACTTGATTCAGTGGTTAGAACGTCAGCCTGCTCTAACCATGAGGATCTTGGGTTCGATTCTGGTCAAAGGCACATAACCTGGGTTGCAGGTTCGTTCCTAACCCCAGTCAGGGCATGTGCAGGAAGCAACCAAATCAATCAATGTATCTCTCTCACATCAATGTTTCTCTCTTTCTCTTCCCCCCCCCTCTCGGCCCCCCTTCCTCCCTCCCCTTCCTCTCTCTCTAAAAAAATAAATAAATAAATAAAATCAAAGACTGCCCTTGGGTGAGGATTTTTAAAAAAAACACCTAGCCCTGACCAGTTTGTCTCAGTGGATAGAGTGTTGGCCTGCGGACTGAAGGGTCCCAGGTTCGATTCTGGTCAAGGGCATGTACCTTGGTTGCAGGCACATCCCCAGTAGGGGGTGTGCAGGAGGCAGCTGATCGATGTTTCTCTCTCATCGATGTTTCTAGCTCTCTATCCCTCTCCCTTCCTCTCTGTAAAAAATCAATAAAATATATTTTTAAAAAAACACACCTAAAGACAAGATGGCCGACTTTGAGGATCAGGTGTCAAATGAGAAGGTACATATAGCTACTAAATTCATCACTCATATACCCCCCAGAGGAATTAATGAAGCATTCAATAATGTCCAGCTACTCCTTAATAATGAATGACAATTTCCTTGAGGAAGGGGCAGCACAAACATTTGCTCAGTATAATATGGATCAGTTCACACCTATAAAGATAGAAGGATATGAAGATCAAGTCTCAATTACAAAACACAGTGACCTGGATAATAGCAGATTTTTCGATCCAAGAAACAAAATTTCTTTTAAGTTTAATCAATTACAGAAAGAAGCAAGTTACTCCCAGCCAGAGGAAGTAGATGGAGGTTTGAAGTCTTGGAGAGAATCCTGTGACAGCACTTTAAGGGCCTATGTGAAAGATCACTATTTCAATGGCTTCTGTGCTGTTTATGTTAAATCTACAGATGGGCAACAGACCATTACTGCATGTATTGAAAGCCACCAGTTTCAGCCTAAAAACTTCTGGAATGGTCATTGAATATCACAATGAATATCACAATATCACTACCTAAAGCCCAGGAGGTTGGAGTACTTAAGATTTAGATTCATTATTATGAAGATGGCAGTGTTCAGTTGATTAGTCATAAAGATGTACAGGATTCACTAACTGCTACGAATGAAGTCCAAACTACCAAGGAGTTTATTAAAATCACAGAGCATGCAGAAAATGAGTATCAGACAGCAATTAGTGAAAACCATCAAACAATGCCAGACACCACATTCAAGGCCTTGTGCCCGCAGCTTCCAGTTACCCACACCAAAACTGACTGGAACAAGATACTCAGCTATAAGACTGGCAAAGAGCCCTATATGGTTTTGCTCAATGGATAGATTCCTTCTCATGCCTCCAGAAGGAACACAGCTCTGCCCACACCTGATTTTAGTCTGCAGAGCTTTAAGATAATAAATTGTGTTATTCAAAGCCACTAATCTTACTATGGCAGCAGAAAAGAAAACAAATGCAGTGGTGAATGTCCACCCACAAATTTGACTCTCAAAGATTTTTAAGTGAAAAGTTATAAAAGTATATTAAGACAGGAAATACTCACATTCTAAATTTTCAATATAAAGGTTTTCAAATTCTCTTTCTATTTGACCAAACAGTTCCAAAAGTGTACTGCGAACTGAGGAAGGCAGTTTAGAATCCTGTAGAAAAAGAAGATTTTGTTTAAAATGCATAATGAATGAGAAACTCTGATACCAAGTACCAATATATTTTTTCCAAAGTGAATTATCATGTATCTTAAGCTTTTATATCTTTAGATGTTTTATTTCTTATACATAAAATGTTTACAGAACTTAAAGTTTCAAATTTCTACAGATGAAACTAAAATCAATATGGAATTCAAGAATAAGCACTTCTTCGAAACAACACAATTGTTTTTTTACAAGGGAGGAAATAAGCCTACCTTATTTTAAAAATTCCAAATTTGTAGAGAAGGCCTGCAGTTCTCACAAATAAAATTATATTATGTCCTGGCCGGTTTGGCTCAGTTGGTTGGAGCACTGTCCAGTACACCAAAAGGTCAAGGGTTTGCTTCCCGGTCAGGGCACATTCCTAGGTTACAGGGAGCATATGGAAGGTAACTGACCCATGTTTCTCTCTCTCTCTTCCTTTCTCTATAAAATCAATGACTATATCTTTGGGTGAGGATTTTTTAAATTACATTCTAAATAGCCTTTAAATTCTATCATGTGGTATTATAAATTAATTTTAATAAGTTACATATTAATAGAAATTGTGCCTTATAGAATCCTCATGTCCACTGTAACTCTATGTAATACCTAAAAGATTATCATGAGGAGAGAAAAAAGAAAAATTTCACCTGTAAAAGCAAAACTTGTATCAGTTAAATGAAAACATTACCATGTAAGTTCCCAGTTAGCTCCTGGTGCCTGCGTGCCTCAGCACGTGCTCTGCACACCTTCAGTTCTGTCTAAACCTCATGGGAAGTCAGTGGGAAGAAGCAACAGCTCAGCTAAATTTTTAGGTATGGTCAAATGAGTAAGCAGTGCCTTAGGCACCAACTGTGTTCACAAGCATTTACCTTCCAGACACTGTTAATAACAGGGAGAATGACACAGTCTACATTCTCTTCTAATTTCCTAAGGACATGGACTATATTGTAGAGTATCTTCTGAGTGACCCCCTCTCCCAGCACTTAAGAGTATTCTTAAACAAAATTCTTAATAAGTATTTCTTAAAAAATGTTTTAATACTTTAACTGCTGACACAGTAATTTTCTAAGTGGCTTTTCAAATTTATATGCAGAACAAACTTTTTGATGTTTAGTGAGTTGCAAATATATATATATAACATTTATTAAATTCCTTCAGATTAACTTCTTAGGAAGACAAGAATTTTGGGCAAAATGATCTCTAATGACATAAGCATTTTAGCAGTATGTTTTTAAGTAAACACAGAATGCTCAAGTAAATTTTACAAGCTACCTGAAAATATATGTGAAGCCTTGTTTACAAACTGAATTTGATAGAACTGGTTCATGCAGCCTCTCTCAATACCCCTCTAAAATTCCAATTAAAGCCCTAACCGGTTTGGCTCAGTGGATAGAGCATTGGCCTGCAGACTCAAGGGTCCCAGGTTCGATTCCGGTCAAGGGCATGTACCTTGGTTGCAAGCACCTACCCAGTAGGGAGTGTGCAGGAGGCAGCTGATCAATGTTTCTCTCTCATTGATGTTTCTAACTCTCTAACCCTCTCCTTTCCTCTCTGTAAAAAATCAATAAAATATATATTTTTAAAAATAATAAAATAAAATACCAATTTAAAAAACATGAAAAAAAAAGAAATAAAACTTAAAGTAACAATGAAAAATAAACTAAACTAAACCAGCACAATTAATGTTTAACACACTGTCTGCCCCGCCTCATGGCCCTTGCCTAGTCTCTTCCCTCTCCGTGCCATGTTCCCGCAGAACCCCTCGTTCAGTTAGCCCTCCTCAGAGTGTCACTTGGAAGCTTTTCTGACTCCCAAGGCCCAATCTCCTCTCATGTCTATCAATTCCAACTCACCTACACCCATAATGTTTAAGATCCTGATTCAGCCAATGAAATGTTACATTTACTTAAATAGTAAACGCCTCTTAAAATGTAATTGTAATGGAGATAAAACTAAGATGTCAGTGTTAATGTCACTTGATAAAATAAAGACAATCAAGAAGCAACGTGCAGTGAAATGAGAACTTTTCCACTGGAGGGCAAGTGGCCTGACAGAGCTCCTCCTGACCTTTCCTAACAGCTCTCCTAGTGCCACTTGACTTCACAGACCCTGAACTGAGGAATGTAACTTATGGTATCACTGGAGAAAACTCTAACAGAAAAACTACTATGGATTCAGTAAAGCTTGTAAAGGGAATTAATTACATTTTACCACAGCAGCATGTACCTGGATAAAAGATGACCCTCAATGCTCCATGTGCACAGAGATTCAGTAGCCCTGTGCAACTACAGACTTCCCATCCCTGAGCTAAGCACTGCTTCCTAAACTACTTCCGACTCATGAATCTAAGAGGTAATTGACTATAGCTTCTTCACACTACTCTTCACTATTGATAGTGCTCCCCAACAAACTCAAAGAGCATGACTGTAACCTCCTCTAGAGAGTGATGACCTACTGTTCAACTCAAACCCACTGGTAAAATTAACCACCTGTGCTCTCAGACCCCTCTGCTTACACCCACTATGACAACTGCTTGCCCCCACACCACTGCTACCATCCTCCCGCTGCTGAACCAGGCAAAGCACCTCACACCAGCCTTTCAGGACACTGGACTCATTGACAAGTAGGCACCATCCAAGGAACACTGGAGACACCACGATGAGGGCCGAGGAGCAGTGATAGGCTGTGCAGCTTGGAGGGCTCTGAATGGCCTTCACAAAAGGTTACCCTGAGATGCAATTACCCATGGTGCTACATCACAATGGAGGGCAGGCCCTCAGAAGGCCAAGAGAACACACGTACCTCATATGGCAGTTCATGCTAGGAAATGCTAGCAAAGGTTATAGAATTGTTCACTGCTAGAAATGTAAAAAAATCTAACAATTAAAAAGATATATCTTAGTCATGGCCAATGTGGCTCAGTTAGTTGGAGTATCATCCCATATACCGAAAGGTCAAAGGTTTGATTCCCAGTCAGGGCACATATTTAAGTTTACGGGTTTGATCCCCAGTAGCTCCATTTGACTAAATGTAAGTTAATAAAAAAATTTTAAATTCCTCAGTCACAGGAGACACCTGAGGCTTGTGGCTCCCATCTCTGATAGCAAAGATCTAGAACATTCCATCATAGAAGGTCCACTGCACACCTCTGGTTCAAATTCTTTCCTAAGAGTTATGGGCTGTGTTTCCCCCCAAACTCATATGTGGAAGTACTGACCCTCCCGCATCTCAGAATATGACTTTATTCAGAGCTACAGTGATTGAGGCAAAATGGGGTCACTGGGGTGGCCCTAATCCAATCTGACTGGTGCCCTTATCAGAAGGGGAGATGAAAACACAGACACACACAGATGGACAACCATGTGAAGACACAAGTAGGAAACAACCATCTATAAGCCAAGGAGAGAGGCTTCAGGAGAAACTGCCCACACCTTGATCTCCAACTTTTAGCCTCTAAGACCGAGGGAGAATAAAGTTCTAATAAGTCCCCTCAGTCTGTGTGGTACTTTGTTACGGCCACCCAAACTCACTAACACACTAAGAATATCAAACCTATTTTGGAGGCTCCTTAAAGTCTATGGTTTTTATTTCCAGTACTGTTAAAATATAGTTTCTTTTAGAAAGCAGAACCAGGTTTTTGTTCATTTATTCATCCATTCAATACATATTAACAGGGTTCTAATTGAATATTTACTACATGCCAAGCAATTGCACTAGGTTCTGAGTGTGTGCTGCTGCCCTCCTAGAAGCTGCATCCTGGAGGCCAAGAAATCAGAGTCCCAGGCACGGTTCTAAGATCCAACATTCCAATGAGCCAATTTCTCAGATTTCAGCCTTATTTTCCTGTTATATTATGGCCATTGAATTAGTTATAATTGTGAAGGGACAATCATAAAACTATATGTATGTATGCTTCTATGCATGTTTATATATATTATTATGAATATGCAGTATATATAGTTAGAATCTATTTTATTATCAAATATACTTTTAGGTTTCACAATGTCCTTTAAAAACTAACAAATTTTCATAATAAAGGAACTAGAAAAAGTGTAAGAAAACTTAGCCTTATCAATAAAATATTAGTTCATCTGATCAAAAGGGACATCAAATAGATATACTCACTACAGAAAACTCAGGATAAAGCCAAGAAAACATACTGAAAAACCTGATTCCAGAAACTCTCCAGAGAACAGAAAGATCACTGAAATAATACCTGATTCTCCTTTTCTTGAGACTATTAGACAGACAATTAAAACTGCACTGTAGAATAAAAACTGTACTGTAGAATAGCACAAAGAAGAAAAACTGATCCAAACTGTCACACCACTTTTTTTTAATACTATATATTGTAAAAACATTAACCTGGGGCCCTTGCTCGTTTGGGTCAGTGGATAGAGAGCATCAGCCTGCGGACTGAAGGGTCCTGGGTTCAATTCCGGTCAGGGCACATGCCCAGGTTGCAGGCTCGATCCCCAGTAGGGAGTGTGCAGAAGGCAGTCGATCAATGATTCTCCCATATCATTGATGTTTCTCTCTCCCTCTCCCTTCCTCTCTGAAATCAATAAAAATATATTTTAAAAAAAAACAAAAAACATTAACCTTGGAATTGAATCCTGTCACTGTGTAGGCTATTGTATTTGACAGTAGTTTTATTTAAGGGAGGGGAAGTTAGGTTTGTTTTGTTTTTTGGTAACCCATACTTTTTCTCTACTTTAGAGACCTGTGTATATTTGGCTATTTCTGGAACATTACAAACATGCTCAGCACTAACTTACTTGTCCTTCTAACATTTCTCTTGGCAAACCCGTCCTCTCCTGTTCAGAGCTGTTAGTTCTTCGTATAGAAAGGCTATGAGATTTGCGTTTCTGTTTTGCTTGGCGAGCAGTTGAACAGCTCCCGCTTTCTGTGGGCATTACTTCTATAAGGTGGTATCTTGGTCACTCCTGCAATAAGCTAGACAAAAGCAGGAAAAACAAGTACTTTATTTCTGATCACAGCAAACTGAAATGAAGGAAAAACAGTGGACAAGACAATGACTACTTTTCATTCCAAACTTCCTTACTATGGTTAACATTGACTATGTAATTTAGAATATGACAAATTAACATTTTAAAGTAGAGACCACATACAGCCTTTGTTAAAAAGGTAATTTTTTATCAAATTTCATTAACATGTTTTAAAAATCCAATAGCAACAAAGACTTTAAAAAACAGAACAACTCTCCCTTAACCAGCTTTCCCCAGACTCAGCCTACTCCCCAGGGGAACCAATTCTAACTGCATGTCCTAGACAAGGGGTGGGGAACCTTTTTTCTGCCGAGGGCCACTTGGATATTTATAACATCATTCAAGGGCCATACAAAATTATCAACTTAAAATTAGCCTTCTATATTTGGTCAAACATTTAATTAACCAACCCCTAATACCTTGGCAGGGCCAGACCAAATGATTTCTCGGGCCTCACATGGCCTGAGGGTCAGATGATCCCCATCCATCCTAGACTATAGATTCTAGGGCAGCGATTTTCAACACATGTGCCGCAAGAAGTTTTAAAAGATGCAGTACTAGACTATTTAGTCAGGAGCACTGGCCTCTTTTTCCTTAGATTGTCAAATTTAAAAAATGACAATAGCCAACACAATAGCCGTCCGGTGTGAATGAATCAAAATTATACCTACATTTTGTCAAATCGGCAAGAAACATTTTTTTTTTTTTGATGTGCCGCAGGATTGTAGTAATTAGTTTGTGTGTGCCATGAGATAAAAAAGGTTGAAAATCGCTGGTCTAGAGGAATAAAATGCAAGCCACCCATGTAACTGCAAATTTTCTAGTGGCCACATTAAAAAAAAAGTAAAAACAGGTGAAATTACTTTCAATTATTTATTTAACCCAATATGTCTAAAATAGTATCATTTTCATAACTGCAAAAAATACCAATGGGATATTTCTAGTTTGTAAGCTTCAACTTCAATGTATATTTCATATTCACAGCATGCCTCAAATGGAACCAGCCATGTTACAAGTACTCGCACGTGGTCAGGGCTGCCATGAGACAGCAGATTTTCATTTACCCGTTTTGAATACTACCTACTCATTTCATGCTACTATCAATTCTTCCTTCTAATATAACCATAAACATATATTATGTTAATATAATTTTAATTAACATACATATGACATTTCCTTCCTCAATTGCAGTTTCACATCTTGGGCATTTTTTACTCTTATTGATCCTCCCTTCTCCCAATGTATCTATGTTAGTTCATGTAATTTTAAGTAATACATGTATGTATCTTCCTTCTTCAACTACTGACAGTATATTTTGATCCTCTCCATTCCCCACTTCACTTTATTTTTTTTATTTTTTTAAAGTAAACACATTATGTTTGACACCATCAATCACCTTTAGTTAAAATGTAAGCCTTGGAGACATGAAACATCAATAAACAAACTACATGCAAATGAGAGAGTCCCACTTCACTTTAAGACTATAGTATCCCACCTTTTCTTGAGCTCTCCCCCACAGCCACCCATGTCCCAACTTTTGTTCTATCATTTGAGATTATATAAATGTGAGAACAGAGTATGTGCCCTTTTGAGATTTTGAGCTTAATGCCCTTGAGATCCACCGAAGTTGCTGCACACACCAATAATTACTGCCATTTTTGATGGCTGGGTAGTATTCCATGGTATGGATGTACTACAATTTAACCTTTCACCTATTGCAAAAAAATGTGGTTCTTTCCAGATTTTCACTATTACAAGCAAAGCACTATGAACAATAATACACCAGTTTTTGTGTGAACTCCAGTTTCCATTTGTTTTGAATGAATGCCCAAATGTGAGATTGCTGGGGTATAGAGAAAATGCATATTTAGTTTTAAAAAAGCATTATTGAGCCCTGGCCAGGATAGTGTGGCTCAGTTGGTTGGGCATCATCCTGTGCACAGAAAGATTACTAGTTCAATTCCCAGTCAGGTCACATGCCCAGGTTGTGGGCTCAATCCCTGGTAGGGGGTGTGCAGGAGGCAGCTGAATACTACCTACTCATTTCATGCTACTATCAATTCTCTCACATGGATGTTTCTCTATCTTCCCCTCTCTCTAAAACATCAATAAAAATAAAAAAAATTGAGATAAAATTCAGATACCATATAATAAGTCACTCCCACAACCTAAAATACTTTCTCTACATTTAAATTTTCTAAAACTGGCCATTTAATATAAATAGATCTATACAATTTAAAGCTTCATCTATTGTGACTGGCTTTTTGCACTTAGCATGTTTTCAAGGCTCATCCACATCACAGCATTGCATTAGCAATTTCTTCCTTTTATTGAAAAATATACCACATTTTACTTACCAATTCATCAGCTGATGGAAAGTTGGTTATTTCCATTTTTAGATTATGAATAATGCCACTGTGAACATTAGCATGCAAGTTTTTATATGCATTTATGTTTTCTTTTTTCCAACATACATACCTAGGAATGGAATTGCTGGGTCATAAGGTAACTCTATGTTTAACCATGTTGTTGTTTTTACAAACCATCAAGTTATTTTCCAAGGTGGAAAATATTCCCATCAGCAATGTATGAAAGTTTCTGTCTTCCACAACCTCACCAGCATTTGGTTATCTTACTATTTTTAATTTTAGCTGTTCTGATAGGTGTCCAATATCTTGTCATAGTCTTAATTTGCATTTCCCTGGTGGTTGGTGATACTGAACATCTTTTTGTGTGCTTATTTTTTTTAAAACATATTTTTAAAGATTTCAGAGAGGAAGGGAAAGGGAGAGAGAAGTAGAAACATCAATGAAGAGAGAGAATCATTGATCCGCTGCCTCCTGCACACCCCACACTGGGGATGGAGCCTGCAACTCAGACATATGCCCTGACCGGGAATTGAATCATGACCTCCTGGTTCATAGGTCTACACTCAACCTGAGCCACGCCAGACAGGCTGTGTGCTTATTTTTGACGTCCGTATATCCTCTTCAATAAAATGCCTCTTCATGTCTTTTGCCCATTTTCCTAATATGATTGTTTGAATCTTTACTGTTAAGATTTTAGAACTGTTTATATTTTCTCCAGATAAGTTACGTGTCAAATACGTAGACTGCAAATAGTTTCTCCCCGTCTGTAACCTGTCTTTTCATTCTAATATGATTTTTCACAAAGCAAAACATTTTAATTTGATGAAATCCAACTGACCAATTATTCTTCTATAAATCATACTTTGAAAGTCAGAGCTAAGAACTTTTCACCAACCCTAAATCCCAAAAATTTTCTCATTTAAAAAAAAATACACACACACACACACACACACACACACACACACACACACACACACACACAGTGGCCAGATTATTATGACCACCTGACATTTGTAGGCAAATTAGCT